CATCATTACCCTATTTTTTTGGGGGGGGGGGATTTTGTTTCCATAGGGAAATCAGACTTGGTTTTACTGAAAGCATTTAGTCAGATGACATGAAATGACTCAACATATGTTGATAGGGTGCTCAAAGCTTAAAATATATTGATCTGAAATATGTTCCAAAGTTATACATTTAAAAATAAAGCCATCTCATTGTGACAAATTCAAATGAATACTACTTTATTTTTAACTTTAAGCCTGCTGGTAACTTTTGTTGAACACTATGTAAAATACAGAATTGTAATTTTCATAGTGGTTGTATTTGTTGTTTACTCTCTTTATCCATGTAATTGGATATTGGTGAAGGACTAAGAGTAGCAAAGGTAGCTTTGTGCATTTATTTGAACTTTGAACATGCAGATTTAAGACAACAACAGAGTGATGGCAGATGCTGCACTGCAGTCTTATTGTACTCCCATGATCAGTTTGGACTAGAGGGAGCAATGTGACGTTCATAGGAACACAAATTAACCTTTGACTGGAAAGGTGTAGTGGCTGAAGCTTTAGACTGGGTGAGTTCTGGATATTGTTCAAGATAAAAGCTGTGAGGTAATTAACAGAGACACATTTCATAGTAATGTTGCCTGTAGATCTGCTAATGCTGCCTGTACTGATCTCCTCTTGGTAGAAGAGTACTTTTGAATTAGTCAAGAAATGCTACTGAAGCAGTGAAGTGATCTCGTTCAGCGGTTTCTAAGTGCAGTCCTGTATATCGAGTCTTACACTTTGAATTGACATGCTGCTGTTTCCTGTCACATTTGGACACTGCATGTATTTTAGGACTTGAGCACAGTTTTGTTTTGGGGGGATTTTGGGAGCATATTTAACAACAAAAAACTGGGCTGATTCCTGCATTGCTGCAACTTTCTCACATACACAAATTCTTCTTCACGTGTGGAGCACAATTTTATTTTATTTTTTTTCTTTGTCGTGTTGAAGCTCGTAGTCTTGGTCCTCAAGTCATCACGGTGAATGCCCTACACCCCGTCACAATGTTCTTAGTATTGAATGAATTTCCTCCTGTGATAGCTGTTTCCACTGCGAGCAAGGCAATCCCACTGGAGAACCCCCCAGAAACCTCTGCTCAAGCTAAAGAGAGCGCTTCTGCAGAAGAAGCTCGCAGTCAGGCTACCTGTGACCAAGCAAATGGTGTAGCTGCAACCCAAGAAGTGACCAGGGAAATGGAAGCAAGTGGGTTGAACCCAATACCTTTGTCTCAGCAAGGGCTCACTGCTGAAGTAGCAGGAGCTTCAGCTGGTTTGGCACCTCTCAATGAGTCTTTGCAATCTGCTGAGGCTGTGAGTGTTTCTTCAGAGCTGCATATTTGTGAAGGAGCAGTTATTGCTGGAGAGGAAAATCAGTTCTTCATTTCAGCCGAAGAATTGACCACCCAAGAGGTTATGCTGACTTCTGAAGAACAGTCAGGAGTACCTGGAGGAAAAACCTCAGCTGATCCAAAGCTTTGTACTTCTGAAGATGGGAAGGCCAGCGATGACGCAGAGACTGTGGTAGAAGGTTTAAAGAATATGTGCTTGGATGCAGCTCAAGATGGAGTAGATGCTGGTGACGTGAACGTCACCATGGATACTCAAAATGAAAACGTTGACAAGACGGAGCCTGTAATACTTCTGTCTGAGGTCATTCAGTCAATGGATGCCGCTAAATCTGAAGCCCAACCTGTTTCCACCCGCCACCTTTCAGGTTGGTTTATGTTCTGTGAAACCAGAATCACATTAAACACCTCTTGTTTATTTATGATTTATTTGGTCCCACCTTTTCAATACATCTTGTTTCAATAAATCTTGTTGGCTTGTTTCTATTCAGCATGTGGTCATGATGACATTTAACACTAAGGTGCCAAGTTGCTTGAGGCTGCTGGCTTTTTGTAAGGGAGAGTTTAAATTTTATGGAAGTATATCATAATTGACAAAGTGTAGTTATTCTTTGACTTGTTTTGATGCAGTGTACTGTCCTTTTTTACCATCCTTACATGACTTTTTACACATTTGGTTGCCTCAAGTGTAGTTTTTTAAAAATTATGGTAAATCGAATGCATAATTATGACCCATTTCAATAAAAACTTGGATGTAATTGAATTGGGTTAGTTTGTTTTGCCTGGTGTTTGCTTTTACTGGATGTACCAGTTCATTGGTGCTGTGTTTGTGTTGCGTGATTTCGTAAAATGTGCGTCTACACTAAATAGTTTTTCAGTGTGGAAGTTAAAGTGTCTTGTACATTGAGTGGCTGTTTGCATCCAACTCAAGGGAGGTATGCTTTTTTCCTAACCCTAAGCCAGAAGATTGGGTCTTGATTTGACCATTTAACCCGCATGAGAAAGACCTCCAATATCAAAACAAAAGAAAAACTTGAATCTTTTTTTGTTCAGCTACACCTCCTGCCCCAGCTTCCTCCAAGCAACCTGAGGCATCTTCAGGCCCTGCTAAGCCCAAAGGCAAAAATGCCAAGAGTGCACAGGGTGCCTCTGCCCCAAAGGCTGTCCCTGGCAGAAGAAAGCGTTCCTCTATGTCTGTCTCTTCGTCCTCTCCTACCTCGCCAAAATCAACTCCCTCCTCTACTCCATTGTCACCTTTGCCATCTCCCCTTGCTGCCTCACCTGGCAGCTCCTCTGCTAATCAGGGTAACCGTTCAGGCCCAAAAGTTGTCAAGGCTGGCAAACAGGGTAAGGCTAAAAAGGGAGAGGCATTTGTGCCTGCTCCTGTCCCCGAGTGCAAGGCCACAGGAGTTGATGAAAAGCCAACAGAGCCTAGCCTCAAGCATAATGTAGCTGATGATACTAAACCTGCCCTGAGTGAGACAAAAACCCCATCAGCAGGTGCGACAAAGGCTGGTGCAGTGCCACCTGCTTTTAAAGTTACCTCAAAGCCTGCTGTTGCAGCACCAGTATCATTTTCAGATACTATTGCCTCTAGTCCTCCTAAGTCAGCTGATGTTAAAGCAGCCTCATTGAAAAATGCTCCACTTATTGCATCTGTTGACGATGAGCTCCCTCCCCTTATCCCACCTGAGAAACCAGTTAAAATGCCAGCTTCTGCATCTCCTGTTGAGAAACGAGGTACAAAGCCTGCTACATCTCCTAAGCCTAATGCTGAGAGCTGCAGTTCTGCTCCTGTAGAGGCTACAAAGACACTAGTTAAACCAAAGGCAGACAAGCCAAAGCCTGTTAAGGTTGCTGAAGCAGCCCCAGTAAAATCAGCTCCAACTGAAGTTGCTAAGGTGTCTTCTGAAATATCAGCTGTAGCTGATGATGTTGCTAAACCAGCTCCTGTCAAAGCTCCTAAAGCAGGTTCCAAGACTAAACCAGCAAACCCTGGCAAAGTTGAGGAGGTTGTGGTGGAAACCCCAAGCAAGCCTGCTCCTACCCAGGCTGCTAAGCCAGCTCCTGGGGCCAAAACTGCTTCTGCTGAGGCTGCTGACAAAGCTTCTAATAGAACTAAACCACCTGCAAAGGAAAAACCTGCTCCTGCAGAAACTAAGCCAGTAGCTGAGGCCAAACTTGTGCCTACTGAGACTGCTAAGCAGACAGCTGAGGCCAAACCTGCTCCCATAGAGGCCAGTAAGCCAGCAACTGTCGACAAAGCCCCAAATGTAGCTAAACCACCTGCGAAGGCCAAACCGGCTCCCTCAGAGACTCCAAAGGCAGTGGCCGAGGCCAAACCGGCTCCCTCAGAGACTCCAAAGGCAGTGGCCGAGGCCAAACCGGCTCCTCCACAGACTAAGCCAGCAGCTGAAGCCAAACCTGCTCCTTCAGAGACTGTTAAGCCGCTGATTGAAGCCAACTCTACAACCACTGAGGCCACTAAGGCAGCCAAATGTGCCTCCAAGAAGACGCCTAAGCCAGTGGCTGAGGCCAAATCTGGCCCCAACAAGGTTCCTAAACAAGCTGAAGAGATTAAAACTGCAGCTCCTAAGGCTGCAAAGCCAAACGCAGAGGTCATGTCTGCCCCTGCTGATGTTAACATGACAGCTGCAGCACCTAAGCCAGCTGAAGATGTCAAGCCAGCCAAAGTGGTGGATGTTAGTGCAGCATCAGCTGAGGTTGCTAAACCTGTAAAACCAGTTGCAGACCCTTCACCTGCTCCCTTAAAGCCCACTCCAGTTGAGCCTGCTGTTCCTAACCCAGCTCCCCGTAAACTCACATTTGCTGAGGCAGTTGCAAAACCTGCCCCTGTTAAACCTGAGGTTGAGTTAATTACTTCAACTCCTCCTCAACCTGTCTCGCCACCTAAACCTGCCCCCACACCTGCTAAAACCCCAGCCAAGATGGAGCCTGTGAACGACAAGAACAATAATGGTATTTCCTCCTTTCTCTCCTTTTGTGCCGTCTGTTTGTTTTGGGGTTGTTGTTTTTTTTTCCCCCCCCCCATCTGTTAGCGTTCTGAAAGATGTTCAGATGCTTAAATATGCCTTTCTCTTACAAAGGTTAGCTTGCGAAATAAATATTATATCTCCTATAGATGCTAAAATATAAGATGCTATTAGATTTTGGCAAGTGTGCTCCTGGTTTTGGAATGCATTAGTTCTATTGGTTACTGTTTGTTTAAAATGTAGTGCAGGTCAATGCTGGTATTATCATGTGTTGTCCAATCAAGTTTGGAAATGGCTTTTTTGGCTGGAAAGAGATTATGTTCTCAACAAAGTCCTGAGGAAAATGACTATAGGTAATAAGATGACAGAAAATGTGCTGTTTTGAATCGAAGTACTTTGTTCCACAATATTGGTGCAGCTTACCTTCAGATTAACTTTCAGGTGTACACATGTAACCTAAGTGGCACATTGTGACAGTTTTTCTGGTGGTCTCTACAGGATCCGGCACTGAGTCGGACAGCGACGACTCAGTCCCTGAGCTGGAGGAACAGGACTCTGCACAGACACAGACACAGCAAGCTCAGGTGAGACTTGAGTCTGGTTTATTGTGTTCACTGGTATAGATGTCCGTCATTGACTCTTCACTGATGATTTACACAGTGACTTTCGTTCTTCTGAACCTACTGAAGCCAGCCTTTCTGTCCTGAGAAGAGATGAATATAAAACGTATCTAATCGCTGATTCTGCATTTACTCGTTGGTGTAAGACACTTAATTTAAATTCGACTTTAGCTTGCAGCAGCTGCCGAAATAGATGAGGAACCTGTCAGCAAAGCCAAACAGAGCCGCAGTGAAAAGAAGGCACGAAAGGTAACAGTCCCAGTTCACTCGGTGCTCTATAAACATTCTGTACGTCTAAAGATTAGATTTGGTAAATTTACTTCCATTTCTTTCAGGCAATGTCAAAGCTTGGTCTCAGGCAGGTAACAGGAGTCACTAGGGTCACCATTCGCAAGTCAAAGAACATCTTGTTCGTCATCACCAAACCAGATGTCTACAAGAGCCCTGCATCAGATACATACATCGTCTTCGGGGAAGCTAAGGTAACGCGCCAACAACAATACCAGTTGTCAGGGTTTGTCAGTAGAGCTGCTGAGTGTGTGTAGTCTTAGCTTTGTGTAATGCAGGCAAATGGATTTCATCACCGCATTCGTAAGCTAAATATTTTTGCTAAATGATGTGCTGACCTCTTAACTTCCTCACTGCTTTCCTCAGATTGAAGATCTTTCCCAGCAAGCCCAGCTGGCCGCTGCAGAAAAATTCAAGGTACCGGGAGAAACTGTATCAAACGTCCAGGAAAACACACAGACGCCAACAGTACAGGAGGAAAGCGAAGAAGAAGAGGTGAGATGCAGTTTAGTCAAATGAAGATGGGCATGGCTTTGTGTTGGAGAGATGATTAATGTTTGCATTGATTATTTTCATAGGTTGATGAGACCGGAGTTGAGGTCAAGGACATCGAACTCGTCATGTCACAAGCCAACGTGTCGAGGGCGAAGGCTGTACGCGCCCTGAAAAATAACAACAACGACATCGTCAATGCCATCATGGTGAGATTTTAACTATCTATCAAAACAATTTAAGCACTTTACTCTCCAGCGCTCTTAAGTGATGATTTAACACAGTGACTTTCGTTCTTCTGAGTCATATGAAGCCAATATTTCTGTCCTGAGAAGAGAGCAAAGCTTTAAAATTATATCAGCTAATATTTACGCATCCACTGACTTTTGCTTTTGCTGCTTTGCAGGAGTTGACAATGTAATGGGGACCCTGTCGACGAAGAGTTGACGAAAGGTTGCTGATTTAATCCAAACTCATTTATACAATTTATACCCAAGATGGAAATAAAGTTGTGGCTTGATGAAATTAAATTTTGTTTCGTTTGTGGTTCTTTAGTGGGGAAAATGGAGCTCTGCTGTATGAGCAAGTGTAATTATTAGTCTGGTTAAGTCACAGTCCTAATCTGGGAAATGTATATATGTAGTGTGGGTTCATTCACAGATTTTTACTTTTTCCTCTCCTGTCTTCTTACTAAGGCTTGCAGGTTAGGTTTGAAGCTGTTACAGTGCTAACAGCACAGAGGTATAATGGAGACACTAGTTTTATTTTTCATTTTGTTTTGCAGTAAAAATCTGAAAACTTGACTGTAGAAGAATGTTGGTGTTTTATTTAGTGGGGGATGTGGATTCCAGCTCTAAGAAAACTGTAGATCTCTCCATGTTTTGTGGACTTTGTGTAAGACTGAAGGTATCACATTGTTCTAGGAAAAAATAAAATTGATAAATCTGAAATGACTTGATGCATAACTTCTCATTTGTTTAGGAAATTGCACAAAATGACGGTGAGTACTTTTGTCAGACCTTAAAGGATTTAAGGATTTATTTATTTTTTCAGGAACTGCTGACGGCTTCATTTGAGACAACTATAATCAAATTTGTATCTGCTTATATTTTTTACTTTGTGTATAGTGTTTTAATGTGACATTTATAAGGTAGAACTGTTAAGCTAATATAGAGTACCAATATGTTGGGCGCCTCCTGGGTGTGTCCTGCTGGGAGACCAATGGGTAGACCCAGGACACGGACAGATTTTTTTTTATCTCTTGGCTGCCCTGTGAACACCCCAACGTTCCCCTTGATAACCGAGAGGAGCTGGCTGGACAGACGGAGCTCTGCGTTTCTGTTTAGGCTGATGCCCCCGCAACCCGACCCTGGAAAAGCACAAGAAAATTCAGTACAGCTAAAAGTAGTTGTTGATTGCAGAAAAAATGCCGCAAAATTATACTTAAAGCATAGCTGAAGTCACTGGCAGACTGAGCAGTGATTAATATGGTTGGTATACATTCACCAGTGACTATGTTAGGTACACCTGTTCAACACTATTTCATCACGCCAAGTGCATGGCAGCTAAGTTCAGTTTCAGTTCAAATTTTATTCGCCACATGCAGTGGCAGGTTGCTCTGCAGTGGAATGAACCCGCCCCCCGACCTTACACACACAACACAGACCTCACATGGGGATACAAGTCAGAGAACGGTTGCATTACAGAAAAACCATTGAAATGTACACTACAATGGGAAAAGTACAAGAGGGAAAAAAAGAGACCTCTACTCATGCTGGGCTACAGGAGGACAGCATGAGACAGGAAACAAAAAACTCCTGCACAGAAAGCACATAAATGTCCACAGTACAACATTATAGAGCACGTGACCAGCAACAGGGTTGGGTAGGGGATAAGGAGTAATCCCAGGCAACACAGCAGCCATCCTGCCACTGCGCCGACTCTCCAGCGCGGGCCCAAACCCGCCTCGTGTTCCCAGGAGGCAACAAACATCGAAGGCATTGGAAGGGGAGGGGGGATGTGTGAGTGCTTATCAGTGTAAGTGTGTGCGTGTCCATAGTTCAGCTGAAACAGTGTCCTTCACCCTATCAGGCTAAGTATAATATAACAGGATAACAGGCCATTTCTTAAACTGTTTTTTGTTTTTTTTTAACATAACAGTACATTCACCACACTAATGGCCTCCACAATCACCAGATAACAACCCAGTACAGCACCTCAAGGATGTGGTGGAACAAGAGATTCATATCAAGTTACCTAACTGGTGATCTTGCACTGACAACATTTTTAACTATTTAAAGACTAAAATTAAAATACACAAAATCATTAGTTCTAGGAGCCATGTATAAGTTACATCAATGTAAAAAGATATGTAATAAAAAAATCGAAAACAATTCTAATATTGTATTATTTTTAAAATCAAGCTTTCTTAAACACTAAATATGTTTTTATTATAGTTTGTTAGAAACAAACCTACATTTAGGGTATGTAATGAAAGTAATCTAGGTTTGAAAGATTAATCCCATACAAGGTTAAATACAGAAATTATAACCTGATAAAGTTCCAAAGGCTTTTTTAACTGAGAGCATGATTTGAGAGGAAAGTGCATGTTTGAAAAGCAAGTTGAAAACATCTCATTCATGATCATAGCACATGTTTGCATGTTCCCTATCTTCCCCTAGATGAGTAGACCAATCTTGATACAGCTTTGCACAAAGACTGAGTAAGACACTGTGATTGCTCTCATATATATGGCTTATACAAAAATTCTAAACAAATCCCACAATGGTACTGTACCATCCTGGCACTGTTAATTACCAACTGTGGAGCCAAGGTCATGCTGGCGATGGGCAAAAGGTGGATATGACTCCAGGGAGGCTATGCTTTCAGCCACACAGCCACATCCAGATTTCCACCCAGCTGAGCACCTATGGGAGATTTCAGAGTGAGGTGTTAGCTTTTCACGGCCATCATCAAAACACCTTTTGAGTTAATGGTGCTCCATGGTGCTTGGTTTTTTCCCATTACTTAAACTATTTGTACCTCGCAGGATAACTACAGACTTAACTGCTTTTCCAGCAGCACAGTCCCAGTACTTGTGCTACTGTTGAACAATTTCTACATGTGAAGTAGAACGCATTTGGACATATTTGAGAACCGATTATTACAGGGTATTATGAGCAGAAACCGGAGAATTCGTGAGTAGCCAATCATTGGTGAATTTCTTGTGGTAGCCCTTCCCATGATCGGTGACGTCAATGGTTCCACTTTTTCAATAAAACACGTTTATTTTACCTGCTTTCTTTTCCCAGCTGTGATTTATATGCAAGACTTTATAAACAGAATGTTGGAATGTAATGTATTTGATATAATGTTGCAACCATTATCCAGTTTTCTAGACTGTGTTATCAACTTCTGATCATTCTTTGAAAAGGTCGATGGCTTCAAACCCTGCTTTACTCGTTTGACTGCCGTACTCGGTGTTCACCGTTTAAAAAAACAAAAACTCATTATGTATTATTTATCTTTTAGTCTTTTTTAAGTAAAATAATACAAACTTCTTAACAAAATTGTGTGTTGCTGTTCTTTTGCAGTTTTGGGGGCTTTTTTGTGGAAATACTTAGAACTGGTTGTGGGTTTGACACTGCCACCGGGTTGGTAAAAAAAAAAGACAAAAAAAAAGAAGAAAACTTCATACTAAAACTATGCATGTCCTTTTACATGTTTTAATTCTATATTTTATATTGTATTTATTTTCTGTCTGTTTTATTTTCACTTGAGCACATATTAACACAGATTATATGTGCTCAAGTGTTTTATATTATAAGTAAAATTGTCGGGATATTAGGTCCGTAGGTGTTTAGACAGTTTTTCTTTTTAAATATTTATTCATTTAAACCACTTAAATTAAATCTGAAAGTGAGCTACATCTTGCTTGATTTAAAAACTGTGGTGGCAAAATAAAAATAAATCATTAAAAACAAAACAAAAAAACCGTCAGAGTAAAATACTTATGGATCTATCTGTATTTATATTTTTGCATGCATTTGAGTTGCTAGTTGCAGTTACATACTACAAGGATCCTGCAGCTTCATAAGCCTTGATAAACCGTTTGAGGTGTTTGGACCGCAGTCAGGTTGTAGTGACTTGCCATAGTAGTCGCCCTCTCTCGCATCACTCGCAGCTGTGGCTGAAAGCTCTAGAAACGTCTAGTGCGCTCGGAGTGCGTCAGCACTGCTATTCCGTTCCTGGGATACGCAATAAGATCCGGAGTAGAGTCCAGGGGCTAGAGGCGTTTGCTTTGGCCGTGTGTTGGACGGCATTCCTTCTTGTTTTACAGGCGCCACCGATCTTTTTCACGAGGCTGTTTTATCTGTGATAAAGAAATTCACTTCACACCAAGACATGTAAGTTGTGGGGAGCGTACGTAAAGGCGCAGTGGAGGGAAAGTACGATAGTACAGGCTGAATGATTAGCTAGCTTTAGCAGCTTGAAACATGCTGTTGGAAAGGCGGGAGGGTGGCATGGCCTCAATGAAGTAGGGACTCAGCGTGACTCGCTGCCTTACAAACTGGGTAAAACCTCACAGTGTATCGGCAAGGCTAATATAGCAGACCGCTTTATCCTTCATTGGCGAAAGAGTCGGTTTATTTTAGCTGTAGCATGGGTCAGGTGTACCGCATGGCACGACTAGCGTAGCGGCACCGCTGTTAGCTTGGCTACAGGAAGCTTCATTAAGACTTCTGGAAGGCTAAGATCAGATTAGCATCGGATCTGCGGCAAGATTTCAGATTTGTAAAGAAAATCAGACTCCATCAGTGGTTTTGTTTGGGCTGTAACGATGTTTAAAGCTAGCTACCCCACACTGCATTGAGGGTTTGTAAGAGGATTTATCTAATGAGACAGTCACCACAATGCTAAGAGAGCAGTAAACATACCTGTAGCTTCCATGCAAAGACCATTTAATTAATGGATGCAGGTCAGCCAGGCTCATGCATGTGTTCTGTAAAATTACTTGAGGTGGAAGTGTGTGGTAATGAAGCCAAATATACCCATCATTTAATTTGTATCCATTGGTGTTTTTTAAAAAAAAGAAAAGCACATGGCTTTTCTGTTCATCCCTCATGTTCAAAGTTAGAGATGAGCTTTTCAGAACTTGTCATGCTACTAGACCACATTAAGTAAAATTAGCAATACTGGCTCACATTATACCCTAAAAAGTTAAAAGGAAAATTTGAGAAGGGTGCCCCTCCATCCACAACAGCTTGTAAATGTGACTTGTCACAGTTTAGTATCCACAGATGTCTCACTTTTGATACTGGAGCAGTGTGTGTAAC